TGGTGGCCTCGTTAGAAGAAAGAGATGCAGCAACAACCACTGCCCCGAAGGCACCAAGTAACTTAGACATGATGAACCACCTGACTATTCTCAAGACATGGAACTTTAGTGGTGGTGTAAGACAATGGAAGCAGACGAGTCAAGGAGTTTCTTGGAGCATAACTTTGAATCCTTACGTTGCCTCGGGGAGCACAAAATGATCTCACAATCTTTTTCTTTGAAGGTGGTGTATACAAGTGGTGGCAAGAGATGCTTCGCAGAGATATGACAAGGGAATATGGTTGGAAAACGTTCAAGGATAAGTTCACTAGGAAATATTTTTGGACTGAGGCCCGTATCAAGCTAGAGACCACTTTCCTCTAACTTCGCCAAAGGTCAAAATCAGTGCATGGCAATGGTAGAAGTTTAACAAGCTTAAAAGGTACGCATGATGATAAATAGATGAAGATGAGCGGTAAATTCAAAGTTTTGTGTGTGGAATAAAACTTGAACTCATGACCATGATTATAAGCAGAGATTATCAGTCAGTTCCAGAACTAAGGGAAAAGCAGCAGTGGTTGAGAGTGGGTACCAGGAGATGGCTAAGTAGGGACGTTCATGGAGGAACCAGGAGCCATCAAGGCCTGAGAGAGTTGAGAACCAGGCAGTCAGCATGGTGATGACTACATGTGTGACGTGTGGTAAAATGCATCAGGGAGTGAGTCATCAAGCTACCGGGTGCTGCTTTAAGTGTGAAAGTGTGAATCATCAAATTCGGAACTGCCGCATGGTATTTTCAGGTGATGCTAGTATTCTTGCTTCATCATGAGCTTTCACCTTCAGCTTAATATTCCTGATCTCTTTCTCCTTAGTGATGAACTTGTCATTCTCCTCCACCAACTGTCGGGATAAAGCCTCCATCTCTTCATGGTTAGCAGTGAAAGTCTCGGTGCTCATTTGTTTCCCCAAGTTATACAGTTGAGACATCACCTACAACGAGAGGTGAATCAAGCTCAGTAATAAATGTAATCAAATAGGATAATAAAGCAATAAGGAATGATCTTTACCCGGAGAAAATCACCCTAGAGAATGCATACAATGTCATAAGGGCCACCCTCAGGCAAAGAAATGTTGTTCAAAAGAAACACCTTAGTGTTTAGATTAGAAAACACTTTAACATGGCTCTCTAGAGACTACTGAGAGCTTCTGTCACACTTGAGATATTCGACTTCAACCTGCTTGAAGCAAGAGAACCCAGATTATCCAAAACTTTGTGCTTGGCACATGGAACTCTCAGTGATCAACACATCATCATAAGGGGTGGTATGGCTAGATGCCACCATTAGAACCAAAGAAGATCAATTCAAAATGAGAAGAGAATTTGGACAGTGATATTGATATTGCAAAAGATAGGAGTTTATGGAAAATGTGTCACACCAAACCAAACAATCTTATAGTCTCATTCAACGTAATGGAAGCCACTTCCTACTACAGAAATGGACAACCCGTGACTGAAATTATCACGCAACTGTAAAAAGTTATATTTCAAACAAATACATAAGAGAAAAGTAACTACAGACAATTACCAAATCGTTTTTAATATCACATCAATTTAAAAGTATGTTATGAATATATAAAATTTTCAGAGGTTGTTTAATAGAAGTGATTAGCTACCAATTTGAATCATTTGAATTACATGTGTGCAACAAAAACCTCTCGGCCTTACACGCTGAGATGGAATAACTATTTCAGGCAGGTTCATGTATGAGATATATGAGAATCCCCTAAATATGTATCGAGACAGATGGTCTAGACCTAGTGGATATGGCTAGGAATCTGATAGACTGGCCAGCTTTTACTTCGGAGATTGATGTTTTCTGAAGTCTAAAAATAAATTTGAGAGTGTGAACATGTTTTATATTCTCCGAAGCGAGAATGGCCAGACGATCAATTAGCAAAAATAGGTTTTATTTTCTCCCATATAAATCAGACATATCCTCCAGACAGAACACAAGTGCTCTTTGGAAGAAGGTTCTCATCGGATCAAAATTTGGTTTAGAAAAATGGGTAACCAACAAAAGAAAAAGAAAAAAAAAAACAAAGAGTTCAATACTATTTCTATGGAAAAAACGCCATTTAAATCCTGAACTTTCAACAATAAGCCAAAAAAGCTTCAACTCTTATGTAAGCCAAATAAATCTTAAACTTTAAAAAAAATCCAGATTAATCCTAAACTTCTGTTGCCTAGTCTTTTTTAATCATTTGGTAGTCAACCGTTAAGTACACTTAAACGTCTGTTAATTAGTAAAACGGTGTGTTTTGGTGACTCAGGAAAAATAAGGGTTCTTCCTTTTTTTCTTCTTCGTGACTGCAATCCCTAATTCCCAAAATCAACTAAATTCTTAAATATTTCTAGTAATTTCAGAGAGAAAGAAGGCTAAGATCTTGGGTATTTGAAAATTTTGATGATGCAGAGGAAGAAGCTTGCAACGAGAGTCGAAACGGGCTAAAACGCACCGAGAAGATGGACATGATGAAAAAGAGCATGAGCATGAGGATGTTAATGAAAATGGAGTTTCAGATGCTGGTGGTGAAAACCAAGCAACTATGATAGGCAAAAAGGAGCTAATGAATCTTCATTAAACAAAAAGACCAAACTTGGACGAGAGAGGCGTTTGATGGCATGTTTCAATTGCTTTGACATAAGACACAACAAAGCCACATGTGTAAATCCGACACTGAAGAAACCAAAGAGGCCAAGGGGTCGACCAAGGCTTCTTCGGTATAATTTGCTTTCTAAGTTTCAGTTTTTGTTGTTGAGAGCATGTTTGTTTTTGCTTACTCTTGCATTTCTTGTAGGAGGAACCAACACAAGGACTTTCCCAAGGTTTTTCTCAAGAAACATCACAAGCTTGATCAGGTATAATTCTATATGTTATAATGACTCATGGTCACGTCTCTTTTGTTATGTCATGAGTCGGAACTCCTATGTACAAACGTGAGAGAGGAGAGAGAGTGTGAGTGTGTGCTTGTGTGATGATGATACAGAAGTGGAAACAGAGAGAGTGAGAGAGATTAAGAGAGGCTGGCCGTGAAATGAGTGAGAGAGGTTAAACAGTTCACAATCATTAAATCTTTTGTTATGTAATGCTTCCATATTCTCTGTCATGTGTTCCTTGTTATGTATTTGTTCTAAACTCCATGTTGCGTGATGGTTCACAATCCTTTCCTTGTGTCTTATCATAACCAAAACACCATTAGATGATAACCGGCAACATGGTCGAGAAAAAAACACAATCTTATTCAAACATTATCGTGAACAACAGCCTAAAGATTATCGGGAACAACAGCCCAAACGTCTGAAATTAGGGAATACAGTAACGAAGAAGAAGAAGGAAGAACACGTAATTTTAATGAGTCACCTGTTTTAAATAATTAACTAGATTCCGACCCGCCCTTTAAAGGGCGGGTATATTTTTAGTTTAATTTTTTGGAAAAAATAATTATCTTTGCGTTTACTTGTAATCACATTACGCTTAATATTAATTTAATTTAATATAATTTTTGGTGACTATATTAAATATATCAAGTTACATAACTATACACTTGTGTCATATGTATTTTAGAAAATAATTTTAAATTTTATTCTTAAAGGTTGCAACATATTATATTTTTTAATAGTTACCTAAATATTAGTCGAGAAAATTTATACTAAAACCGACTCGAAATCAATACGAAATCAAAGTCTCATACTCTGTTAAACCTAGCATATATACTCAAACGATTCTTATAGTGTTATATCTGAATACCAATATCAAACCTAGCTCGCACCTCGAACAGTTTTTTTGAAAAATGTTTGAAAAATAATTTTTAATATTTTTTTGTTATATATATAATGAGTTAATATGGTCTTCACTAACTTTAAATTAAATCATAATTAATAAATATTTTTAATCAAACAACCTATTTAACACCCGTTAAATTAAATGAGTTTATAGAAATATATATATTTCTATTAAAATTCACTTATGATAATTAAATATCATTAATAACCCATTTCACCAATAATTAATATTAATCTTAGGTAACTTTTAAAGTTTTTTATATAGTAAACAAACTTAAGAAATATATTTCCATCGGTTTGTATATATATTTATGTTTTAATATTATATATATTCAGAAATATTTAATATTTATTACAAAATATTTCTTAAGTTTCAGATAAATGTCGAAGCTAATCTTCAAAAAAAAAAATTCAGATAAACGTACCTATATGTTAAGTTATAAAAGAGGTTTATTACTATATATTATTGTGGTCTATTAGAAGCTTGGCCCATTACAGTCTTGTATTCCATTCGATATAATTGTGTAGTGTGTATTGTTTCTTATTTTTTCTTTTTTTTAGTGGCATTCTTATAATTTTTCTATTTCTCCTAAGAATATTTTAGAATCCTCTGCTTCTTGTTAAATATATATGTAGAAAAAATAAAGATAATGAACAATAATTATGTTTGGTTACGTTATTAGTTATTCTGCATTATTAGCATCTTTTTGTTTTTGTTTGATTAAATATGGGTGCAGTTACAAAAAGAAACTGTCGATAATTAGGCAATTTAAGTGACAGTTACATCCACGTTTTATATTTCGGTTTCTATGCAGTTATATTAAAAAGTATATGCTATTAAAATTTTAAATTGGACATAATTTTTATCAATTGGTCACACTGCTGTTTTAATAGAATAGATGGACGTTTAAATCTAATTAACGTTGACTTCGAGATGATTAAAAAGGCTAAGTCAACAGAAGTTTAGGATTAATTTAGGAAAATATTAAAAGTTTAGGATTTATTTGGTTTACTTAAAAGTTGGAGTTTTTATTGGCTTATTTGAAAGTTCGGGATTTAAATGGTCTTTTCCCCTATTTCTATATGTCTTTAGCCTAAATATCTCTAAATATTTTCTGATGTCAAATATTATTCTGGTACAGAATGTTCGATATATCAAAGCCTTTCGGATCAGGGAGAGAATATGCGTATCTTCAGAGTCGTCGTCACCATTCAAACGAGGCCCTTTGGAATCAATACTCACACTTTTGTTTCCTCTTCTTCTTCCTCCCTAGAACCGAAAGAGTTATCGTCTTCTGTCCGAAAGAATGCTGTCTGCCATGGCGGTTCCGATTAACGGGTTTTCTTTAAACCTTCAGAAACCAAACCTTATTGCTGTCTTGAGGAGCAGAGTTTTGTATAGTGCTGCAGAAAGCTTATCGTTCTCGCGTCTCGTCAAGTCTTCTTCTTACAGGTTTGATAGAAAGGATTAGATATGTTCTGATTGGGGAACTTTGGCACTCCTTTTGATTTAATTTTCCTGGAATCAGCCAAAGCAAAAGTATATTATGCTGTGGCAGGATCAGAGTAAGAAGCTTTCAGAAAGAAAATGTAGGAAAGAATGAGTCTGAAGATAGTGAAGATCGTAAGAGCCAAGGCACAAGAATTTCTGAAAAGAAGAGAGTCTCATTCATAGCAAAGTTAGGGATTGGGTTAGGATTGGCTCTGACTATTACAGTAATTTGTGTAACCTTGAAAGGATCTGCTACTGCTAGTGGTGGTTCACCTTTTGAGGTTAAGAGTCTAGCCAAAGCTTCATCATCTTCAGTTGGTTTTACATTCAATGCGTTTGGAAACAGATTCGTAATTCCAGCAAATGCACCCGGGTAATAAATAATGAATGTAACAACAGTTAGCGGTAGAAGTTAATCTTCCTTTCCTTGTGAAATAGATTGTAGTACTACCCCTTTAGCTGTTTCAGTGTATTTCCTTCTGCAGGTGGGTTTACTTTTGGTTGCTAATGGCGGCTGGATTCGGGCTTTTTATTAGCGAAGAGGCGCTAAATATTTGGGTCTGTGGTGTACTTTTGTTTTAATGTTGGATTATTTCACTTTCGATGACAGTTTCTTGTAAATCTTTGAGTTGCAGGTTGGGATAACATTGGCTCGAATGTTAACTCTGGATGGGACGTGGCAATCTTTTGCTGAGTCTTTCTCTCGGAATGCTCCTTATATATTGTCTACTGTGTCTTGGGTTTACTGGTAAAAAGAAAAAGCAGTATCTCTTGTTAAAACATCATCGCTTCCATAGTTCTTAATGTTTTTGTTGACGACTTGAAAAGGGGAGTTTGTATAAGCGACATGATACCCTTTTACCTAGGGAAGCTCTTCAGACAAAGTGGAGCATCAGATGATGTTTGTTCAAAGGTTACTTCCCTTAGGTGAAATCCACTCTTGTTATTCTTCGATCTAATTTGTACATCCCAAAAGCTGATTTTCTTTTCTTTTTTTCTTCTACATTTCGATATAAAGCTGGGCATAGGTAAAGAGAAAGCGCTGAGCATTACCCAGGCCGTCCAAAAATATGGAAACCTCTCGGGTTTCGGTGAGTTGCCAGTGGAACGATTTTCTTGAATGTGATGTTTTTTTTCTTTTTCTTATCTCTTTGGTTCTGTAAACAACATTGAATGCAGTGGAAAGATTTTCGCTGGGTGTGAGGAATCCTACAGCATTCTTTGCCGGAGCACTTGTAAGTCTGTCCCGGTATTTGATTCCTTGTGTGGCATTTTTTTGGTTGATAAAATCTATTAACATGGTCGGTCCTTTACAGGGAATATCTCCAGAATGTTTCTTTGCAGGAGTTTGCTGCGGTGGTTTGATTACTCTTCCAGTTCAGGTTTATCTCCTTTTCATTATATTCGATTTCATTCTTTCTTACAATGTGAACATAAGAGTAACTAGAATGTCTAAATATTTCAGCTTGTGATTGGATTTCTTCTTCGAGAACGCCCTATGTTTGCTGTTGCTACTGTAGCAACTGTTGTGGTAAGCAAATATATATAGAGAGAGAGAGACAATAGAGGTATCTAGCTTTGGGCCTTTGACACAAGTTATAGTTCCAATTTTACGTGCAGGGAATATGGACAATCTTCCCTTACATGGTCGCTGCTGCCACGGCTTTGTACCTCTACATTCGCAGGCGCTAGCTACTCACCTAAGACTTAGTTAAAGTATTAATGCATAGAAAGAAAGATGTAAGATCTCATCAACAGTGCATATACACTACTACTCAGCAAGCCAAAACGTATGTATGGGTTATAATACCCTTCTAGTGTAGTAATATCTTCAAACAAGATTCACTTAAAACTAACTTGTTCCCAGAACAAACTGTTGTCTTTCTAAATCAATATACAAATATGTTTCTTTACCGGACCAGAGTATTATACAGCTTATTTGTGAATATGCAGGTTTTAAAAGAATGGTATATGCTTTCTTTATCTGCTATTATCCAAGACAGTAGGTACGAGTTTGAGCAAACTCATCGTCTTCAACATTAATATCTCTAGACCTTTGATTGCAAATCCTGCTTTTACTATTAACTTATTGTTTAACAGAATGATCATCATCATCTTCAATATCCCAAGTTAAACTCTCTTCTTCCTCTGCTACACTGACCCGTCTTCGCCAATGAGATTTCTCCTCATTGCTTCTAATATCATCTTCCATCTGATCCCAAGATCATCGACCTCAGGGAATGACGGTTGCGTTGAAATCACTGAGATATCACTATCCTTCTTTACTCTCTTCCAATACCACATTCTTCAAACCTCAAGATCCCAGCTCAAATCCTCCTCTTCTTCTCCAGATATAGCTCTGTTCACAAGCTTAACTCTAGCCTCCTCAACTTCCTCAAGCTTATGCACTTTATAGTAATACCTCCTCCAGAAAGTCTCAGCATCAACTTCCATAGGCACAACCTTCAAAATCATCTGGTTCTCTAACACAAGTGCCTTTATCAGATAGGATCGCAAGCAACTGCATCTGGAATCGACTATACTGTAAGCCCTGGCGATATCCTGATGAGTCCATATGGGACGAAGAAGGCGAGAATTGACAAAATAATCCCTTAACTTTCGAAAATAAGCCAAAAAAATCTCCAACTCACACACAAGCCATTTTAATCTTCAACTTCTAGTCAAAGACGAATAAATCCCATACTTGTTGACCAAGCCATTTTAATCTCGTCAAAATTTAACCGTTTAGTTCCGTTAGTTATATTTAACGGTTGACTTTTAGTGAGCCTAAAATGGCCTGGTCAACGAAAGTATAAGATTTTTTTTAACTTAATTTAAAAAATTGAAAATTAAAATTGCTTATTTAAAAATAGCTTAACTAAAATTTAACTTTTTAACTAATAGAAAAAAATATAATTTTTCATATAAAGTGTAATCACTAACTTAATAATATATGTTCAAATAAGTTTAGATATAATATTTAAAAATGAATTAAAAAAATTATATACATCAGCTGCTGAAAATCTCTTTCACGCACTTGAGTTCCTCATTTTCACTTGTTTCATCCTCTATTGAGTATATGCGATTATACTTTTAACAATAATGTGTTTAGGGTCTTACCTTTCACTTTTATATTTTTATTCTTAACTTTTTTTGAACATAAACACTTAATTATTTTATTTTATATCTGGATTTACAGTATAATTATATTTTTAATGAAATTTTTTTACTAAACAATTTTTTTTTGTTTTTAATTCATTTAAAAATATTATAACTAAGCTTATATGAACATATTTTATTAAATTTGTCATTCTAATTGATATGATAAATTACAATTTTTGTTGAAAAAAATAAAACAAAAATAGCAATTTTTAAGTTAAGATAAGTGTACAATTTTAATCTTCAACTTTTAAATTAAAATAAAAAAATCTCATATTTTCGTTGACCAAGTCATTTTAGGCTCATTAAAAGTCAACCGTTAAATATAACTAACGAAACTAAACGGTTGAATTTTGACGAGATTAAAATGGCTTGGTCAACGAAAGTATGAGATTTATTCGTGTTTGATTAGAAGTTGAAGATTAAAATGGCTTGTTTGTGAGTTGGAGATTTTTTTTGGCTTATTTTCGAAAGTTGAGGGATATTTTGTCAATTTTCCCGACGAAGAAGATAACAGAGATTGAGAAAATATCTTAGCCGTTGATTTCCACACAGTGGTGCCGATTGTTGGATCAAATAAAGAAGCCCAAAGGCTTTTATATATATATGTGAATAAATATGACTTGGGATGTATGTGATATAGCCCACATCACAATTTGTTATGTTTGTATTGAAGTCCCACATCGGACAAGTGAAGAGTTTTTGAGCAATATATATATGTACTCAAGATATGAGTGTGTAAACAGCTCAGTGAGAGAGGAGGCGTTCCACGCGCGCCGCTGCCGTTCGGCTCGGCGCGGGCGATAGCGACGGGCTTTATTGGAGGGCCAAGATAAGAAGTTATCATTTTAGACCAATTTAAGCTCAACGCTTTGCCATTTAAACTTCAAAAAATAGCATGCAATTTTATTTAAAGCGACAAGTAGTTTGTCTAACAAATAAAAAAACGTCACGCAGTTTATCCTCTCAGATATTTAAACGAGAAAACAGAGAGTCTTGCGGAAAAAGATTTCGCTACTCAACTTCCCTCGATCTCCGCGGTATTCTCGCCCACGTGCAGCAGTTGTTGCGGGAAGTGGCTCTCGTCTTTCTCTTTAAATAAACTCGCTTCTCTTCTTCATTCGTTAACCGTTTTTTACACAGAAAAAATCCAGCAATCTCTCAGCGTAAGTTTTAAGAGAGTGTTCGTAGAATTTCAGTTCGTTAGGTCGTTTCACGAGTGAAGCGTGATTCGTCTGCCATGGTTGTATCCTGAGACTCGATATTCGTACAGTTTCGTCTCACTATGGAGCGAATATTAAGAGTTAAGTAAAGAGATTTATCTCGCCTCCATGTCTTATATAATCGTCTATTTCCTTAACTCCGTCTTTCTTATATCGTTTATGTTGATCCGGTTTTCCGGTTTCTACAATCTTAACTCTTAATCGCTTTCTGTCTAAAGCTTTAATCGGGTTGAAAAAAGCGATGTATAGAAATGGGTTCTGGAATCGTGTTTGCGATTTGCTCTATAGCACTTCCGCGAAACGTTTGACGTTTAATATTTGTCTGCTATACGTGTTTGCGATTTGCTCTATAGCACTTCCGCGAAACGGTCTTTGAAACGCTTTTTGCGATTTGGTTTTATCATTTCCGCGAAACGTTTCTTACTTATCTCAAAACGATTTGCGGTTTGCTTATATCATCATCCGCGAAACGTTTTAGATACTTGTTTCTTTTAAAACGTTTATACATGAATCGTTTTCACAGATGCTTTATAAAGTGAATTTGAGAAACATTCTAAGTCTACACTAAACGGTTTCTGCGAACGCTTATAAGCGAGTTTGCAAAACATTTTCCAGACTTGTATCGATATTATTTGGTTCAGATTACCAAAAATGAAAATCGATTTCACACTATTATTTTTGCTTAAAAATAATATGTTGTTATTTGAATGGTTGTATGGAGTACTGATCCGTTTTTCATATTTTCTTTACAGAAAAAAGACGAACGATGATAACACCCCCATTGACCTCGCCACTCAGACTCCACTCAACGCGACAGCACCTGTTCACTACAACAAATATGGGTATTTATAGCACATTACGATAGCACATTTTTCGTAACTGCTATGGAGAGGTAGTTGGAAGTCTGGATAACAAACTCATAGCATTATAATTATGCTATGCCCAAAAAATCATAAAACGAAAACAAAGGACTCACAACTAACCCTAGTTTTTACAATTAGCGCCAACACTTAAGAAAAAAAAGGGGATTTCGCGGCCATTTACCCTAGATTTTTCTTTCATAGCATTAGAAAAAAAAAATTTCTCCCTTTCTTCTTCGCCGACTCACTCTCGACGAAGCACATTTCTCTTGCCTCACCATTTGTACTCGCTTTTCATCACATGGGTTCGTGTTTCTTTGGGCGGCCGTCATCGTAGAAGTTCGCGCAGTCCAAGTCTCTGATTTCAATTCCAGCCGTCATCGTCGAAGCTCGCGCACTCCTCACCTCCGATTTCAATTCCGGCTGTCGCGAACTCCTCACCTCCGATTTCAATTCCAGATCTACACCTAAAGGTGAGTTCTTACCGTCGAGTTATGCATGTGTTGTGATAATTTAGGTTTATGAGCTTTTTAATCGTATGCAAGCGAGTTATGTTGTCGATGTTCTTTTTGACTCTCCCAAGTGTTCTTCTTTGTTTTCACAATCGATTATGTTTGTCTAATCATGTTGTTTCGAAGCTTTGTCACAATTTTTATCATTGATTCTCAGATTCTAATTTTCTGAATTTGTAGACACTATCTTGGTCGGCTTCTTTGTCTTCGTCGTCATTGGTCTCAGCCCTTTTCCAGATCAACAGTAGTGTTCAAGCGAAGGTATTTCGAAAACAAAATCTCTTCTTCTTCTTCTTCTTCTTCTTCTTCTTCTTCTTCTTCTTCTTCTTCTCTTGTCTCCTTTTCCTTTCATTCGACTGTAATGTCAAGCTTGTTTCTTTTAAGTTGAAACATGTACTTACTTAGTTCATGTTTAGAGATTTGTCTCAAAGGTTTAGTTGTTATTATCGTTTAACTGTTCTTTGACTATTACTCTACTGTGCTGTAACTTGGTTTCAGATTAGAAAAGTGTTTGCTTTGGGTTTTGTTTGATCTTCCATCTTTGTCTTCTGTTTGGCTTACACGCGTGTGGTTTGTTTATGTTGTTTGATTTTGGTTTCGGATATTGAGGACTGCAAACAATGTTGGACAAGTCTTGGGTGCATTTATGCAGGTATTTTCATTACTTGTGTGTTTAGTTTATGACATTGGAACATTCTAGTCATAACTTTATTTTTCTTTGTTTGATTTACATGAACCTAAGACTCGATTCAGCATATGAGAGAGGTGTTCGGGATTTTTTTAATGCTGTTAGTGCTAAGTTAGGAGTTAATGGTAAGATCGTATGTCCATGCGCCCGATGCCGCAATCTATATCGCCATACAAGTGAGGAGGTTGTCTCTCATTTGGTTATAAATGGAATGGATGATGCTTACAAGGTACGCACAGATTGGTTTCACCATGGAGAAGGTGACGCTGTAACTGTAGTGGCTGGTAAAGATAGATTGTGGAATGCTGAGATCCTTAGTTTATATGAAGCAGCAAATTGTCGGGATGAAGATTTAGCCATTAGGGGGACACAGTTAAGTGAGTCAGCTGAGGGTGAGGACAAGAAAGAAGATGAATTTTTGGCAAAACTAGCAGAGGCTGAAACCCCATTGTATCCGACGT